CTTATACGATAAATCGCGGAGTTTTAATAATATCGCTTAATAATATAATATTAAAAAGATATTAAAAATATTATTATAGATACTATTAGTCGCCGCTTTAATCTAATTAGAATTACGCCTACTAATATTAGCCTTAAATAGCTTATTTAGGATATATATCTCGCTACTATAATAATAATATAAGATATCCTAAAAGAAGAATAGCTAGTAGTTGTAATCCGGTTTTTAAAGAATAGTATAAAATCTAAAGATAAAACTATAAAATAAGCTATAAAAAAATATGCCGATAAACTTAATTTTTAGAATATATATATATTTATATAAGCCTCGCTAAAAGAGAATCGATAATTACTCTTTATATATAATAATAAAATAATCTCTCTATATCTAGAACTACCTTTCTAAGCCGAATTTTTATAAATAATATATTATAAGTTCGGTTATTTTAGTTATCTAAGCCTAAATAGTATTATCTAATCTTAAGGATAGTAGCCGGCTATATAAACGGATATCGAGAAATCCGCTAAAGAATATATAAACTACTAAGTATCTTAGGGGTTTTAAAAAGACTTAGAAAGAGAAGTAACTTAATATATAGTAATAAGCGGTATCCGGCTATTTAAAAGATAGGAAATTAATCTAATCGGACCCCTCTTAGTTATATTAAATAGAAATCGATAGATTATTATAGCGATTAATTATATAATAGACTAGCTAATCGCCTAAGTAATCTTTAATACTACCGAAGAAACCCTCGCGGAGTTCTTATTCTATAATATCTATATATATTATAGCGTATTTAATAAACTACTTTTAGATAACGGTATAAATCTTCTATTCGGAGCGGTAAAATATTTTATAGGCCTTTTTAGAGCCCGCTATAGAATAATTATATTATACTATCCTTATATAAATAAGAAAGTAGAAAATTTTAACGGCCTAATTAACTAGATACTTATAAAATATCTTATAAAAAAGCCTATAAGACTATAGGATAAATATCTTACTAAAGTAATATTCGCGATATATATATAGGAATATATTATTACGAAAATAAGTCCCTTCTTTTTAATTTATAGCGTATATCTATATATCGCTACTAATAATAATAACTAACTAGAGACTTAGGTAAAATTAGATAGGGATAAGTAAATCTAATAACTTATAAATATCTATTTAAAGATAAACGAACTACTACTCGTCTATATAATTAAGAAGTAAAAGATTCGGGACTTAATAGTTATAAAAATAAGCTTTAAACTAAATAATTAGGTTTTAATTTAAAATAAGTCGAAATAAAAATTTGAGAGTATATAGTTCGGCCTATATTAGGTTATATAAGCCTATCTATTTAGTATATACGTCCTAGCTTAATTAGATAGACGTATACTTAAGAATCTAATTAATAGTATATACCTAATAGACGCGAATATTAGTAAAGACCCTAATTTATAGGCCTCTCTAGCTAGCTATTTAGTTTTATAGTAAGCCGGATAGAAGATCGGCTATCTTAAAGAACTTTATAAAATCCTCGATAAAATTAAACCCTTTTTATTAATATATTCGGACCTATCTATATTTATATATTAAGAATAATAGGAATTTAGATAATTAGGAGCCTCTACTAAATTCCTAAGGGAGAAAGTTATAGCTAAATATATTATTATAAAGATATAGATAGCTATATATAAAAAATAGTCTAAAGAAATTGTTAATAAAATATTTAAGTAAGGCCTACTAAATATAAATAAGTAGGACTTAGAAGCGAACGACTATAAATCCGAAGATTTATAAATAAATAATTCTTTAAAATATAAATCGGTAAAGGACGTTTATTAAAAATCTATAAAAGACTTAGTTTAGATAGTAAGTCTATTTATAGTTATTATTCTACTATTATTAAAAGATATTTAAAGAGTTTATAATAAAAAAAGTTAGAGAAATCGAATAATTTAAATTATATTATCTATATAATAATATAGAAGGAGCTATTTAAAAGAGATAAAGCTTAGAAAATATTACTAAATTATAGCTATAAAGATATAAATATCTTAAAAAAAGATTAATATATAGAAAAAAGATCCGAACGATCCTAAATAAAATATTACTACTAATTAATATTAAAAGATATCTATAGATTCTTCTAAATTAGCCTTAGAATTATTAGATTCTAATTCCTTAATATTATTTATCTTATCTTACTAGTCTTAAAAAATAATAAATTCTTATATAAACTAGTAATTATACTATATATATTAGCGTATCTTCTAAATATAGTTAAAAGACTCTATAAAATACTTCTTATTCTTATTATAGTAAATCTTCGGCTAGTCTAATAAATTAATATAAAGATTCGAATTAAAAATAGGACTAGAATAAGGAATAGTATTTATATAGGTAGGGAGATTAGGATCTTTACTTTTTTACCCTTAGTTTTTTTATAAGCTAGCGCTATAATAGTAGATATAGGAACTATATATTTCTTATTAGTCTTAGTAGTATCCCGAACGATCTTATATATATTTATAGACGCTAGAGTAGCTTTAATAATAGTAGCTTTTTCTTTATTTATAGTCTTTCTCTTATCCTTATCCTTTTTCTTATTTATACTAGCTAATCTAGATATAATATTATTATTATCTAGTATAATTAAAACTAGACTAGTAGCTATAGCCTTCTTTTTCTTAGCGGGATAATAGATAATAATATAGTAGGCTATTATAGGCTTATTTTTAAAAGGGTTATCCGGTTAATAGAACTATAGAAGATTATATATCTATTTTAGGATATTAATAGCGGGGCTTAAAATACTTATAATTATATTAATAATTATATAAGATAAATCGGACTTAAAGAACTTATATAAGGAATACTTATTACTAGTATTAGAATATTAGTAGTTTATATAAGCTAGATTCTATTAAATATCTAGGCCCTTTAAAAAGACTAAATAATAAGATCTCTATAGTCTATTATTATAGACGTAAGGCTTATATATCCTACTAGTAAGAGCTAAATAGCTAATTAGTTAGCTAAGTATAGCTTATATATAACTAATAGTATTTAAATAGATAAGCTTATTAATCCGCTAATTAAGTATAGCCCGCTTAGTATCGATCTAGCGCTATATATTATCCGCCGGTATAATAGATAATTTAATAAGTATAGGTAGACTAGTACTATTATAACTAATATCTATAAAATAATAGTTAGCTTTATATAGATAAAATAAAAGGAGTTAGATATACTATCGTCTACCTATATAGCCTAATAGATATTACTAGTAGTAATAAATAGTAAAAAAATAAGACTAGCTTCTTATATTATTATATTAGGGTAGACTAGAAAAAGTAGTACTAAGAATAGGTATAGTTATCTTAGCTATCGGTATAATAGCCTTAGCTATAGGCCTAATAACTTTAGTAATAGGTCTAATTAGACTAAGAATTATTATAATAGTAGTACTAGTAGCCTTAATAAATCTAGGAATAACTATAATTATAAAATTGCTATTAGTAGACGCTAAGTTAATTATAGCTAGAGATTATATCTTTATCTTTACTATCCGCTTTAGTATCTATATTTATAGTCTCTACTAGCTCCCCTTCGTTTTTACTTAAGCTAGCTTTACTACTACTCTCTTTATCTTATTTTTTATTATTATCGTCTAAACTATTATCCCTATTACCCTTAAGGGCTATAAGCGGTTTAGACTCTATATATTCGGCCGCCTAAGAGATAATCTAGGCTAAGAACTAAGTTATAATAAATATAGAAAGGGTAGAATTATCTATAATTAAATAGAAAAAGATAAAAATCGATAAAAATTAATTAAAAAAGAAAAAGAAACTAAGAATTTAGAAATAAGAGAGAGAAGAAGAGAATTAATAGGTAGAGATTTAATAATAATCTACTAAGATAGACTAATCCTATTTATATTAGTTTAATTATAGGTCTATAAGAACTATACCGAGTTTATATTACCTATATTAAATCTATCTTCGATATAGATCTACCCCTCTATCTCTTTATCTCTCTTCTTAATAACTTACTATTATTATATCTTATATATTTTAACTATTTTATTATTTTATCGTCCGAAACGACTTAATACCTAAGTATAAAAGACCTTAAATAAACCTTTATAAAGTTATTCTTAGTCTTACTTAGCTAAACTTTCCTTTATTAAAAGATAATATATTCCGATATCTCTAAACGGATATAGATATACCCGAATACTTCCCTTTATTAATATCCTAATATACCCTATTGTCCCCGATAGACTTAGTATATCCGAAAACCCCCTTTATTACCGCCTCTAGGGCCTATACGTCTACTTACCTATTTTTATTCGAAGAAACGGAGGGCCGTTTCTAGTTCGGTAGGGGAGGATATGATCCTAGAGGCCACTTATATAACTAGATTTGTATAATTAGCCCTTATATATGTCCGTATAAGACATACTAAGGCCCGAACCTACACGTTCGGGTGCTATAGGCACCCGTACTGGCAGGGTATTTAGACATTAGTATTCCCAACATAATAGAAACCATGCGATACTTCACGAATCTCACTATTCTCCTTCTAATTTTCCTTGATCTTCTCGAGTCTGGAATTGACGGTTGGAAGTATCACCTCCATGGTGCGCAAGGGCTTGTCAATCTTTCTCGCTCGGTGTTGGAGCCTAGTGCCAGTGAATATATCAACAGCAACCCTGGAGAGACAGTATAGGAGACAAGGCGATTTGTCGCCCGGCAGTTATCCCTATATGGTTCTTCTTCTCTGTTATCAGTTTATATCGTGATCTCGCTGACAGTGTCAGTGTCTCAACCTTCGGAGGCGCGCTCTCGGGTTCGAACTCGAGCACCGAGTTTGGTATCAACCTCGACGAAAGCAGACATCAAGAGTCCATCATTAGAAGCTTTCTGGGATGTCCTATATTCCTTCTGGGCGCTATCCGTTATTTCTCCAACCAAAGACACGTGATTGAGACCTTAAACATGCATGATGACCTCTCGATTCACAAGAATGTACGAGATACCTTGACTATGCTTGAGCTGACAGCAAAGTTTGATTGTCTAGAATGGGCATCACAATCCGTGCAGTCAAGTGTTTCCTCGGCAGGTGAGATTCAGAAGCTCTCTTTGCTATCGGAAGCATACAGAACTGCTGCCGTGCTGTATGGAAAACGAGTCCTCCGTGCTTTCAAGACATCGACCAGGACGATAGCATCTGATCGTGAGGAGTTGATGTTGCGGTTGCTTGGCGTGATTGACTCTCTCAAATGCGACCCGGCGTTGTTCAAGTGCCTACTCTGGCCTACCTTCATCACCGGTCTCGAATGCCAGACTCATGGCGAGCAACAGGCGGTCATTGGATTTCTCAAGATGCTTTGGGATCTTACCTTTTGCTTGAATGTGATAAACGCATCAAAAATCCTGCGTGGTCATTGGAAGCGAAGGCATCTCGATGGCAATTTGGAATCGAAGAAATCCGACTTCTATGTAATAGAACAAGGCTGGCTACTTATTTGATGCACGGTATGCTTCAATGGTCAGTGTATCTGACCCAAATATACCATATGAAATATTAGATTTGTAATTGATACACTGGCGAGAAAGAAGACTGTTATACATTAAATAATAAGAAGTTCTTTATTTTGCAAATGAAATATACTGTCGTGATAAATGTTGTCGAGCGACCGTCTCCAACAATTCCAAGTACAGCATTTTGGCACTTCTATTACAAAAGGGTAGACCGAAGATTTCAACCCGATTCCTTTTATTACTATGATTGCCCCATTGGGTTGATGACGCATACCATCGCACAAATTAGAAGTTTGAGGGCCACATGCGATAACTTCCTATACTGGCGACTAGAGCTTACCAACCACCGTCTTTGATATATTTTAATATTCCAATGTTGTCTTATTGTCTCACATTTCCAAGCGAGCGAATGGTTGCCTCGGATATAGCCAAGTTGCCACCGATGCCCCACCTGGTATAACTTCCTAATTGGGTAAGTATAGTTCCATCATACTTACTCAACTTCAACTTACGAACTCCGAGAAATATCCAGGGCTCACGACGGTGCAGATTTAGTAAATCAATACCAATCGGGTGCCTTTAGTTTCGGTTGATTCGGACTTGGATTTTATTTCCCGCATTTGAATTAATAAATTAATAATGGGGTGAGGTGAATGCTATTAGGGAACGAATACTTAAAAGGCTTCATCCCCTCCTTTTTCATTACTTTTCAGTATCATCTAACAGAATCCAAACCACTGCCAAGGGATCTCTCCTTTTACATTTTTCCAAATCTTTCCACTACACCATGTGCCACCAAGAAATTGCTGCCAATGGCTGGACCAGCACAGCGGCTAATGCGGGCGCCATCTTTGGTGACCAGCCTTTCATCAACAAGCCGGACGCACTCTGTTTCACTGATATCAAATTCCCATTTGATGATCCCACGGTCGCGAAGACTCTCAAATATGCGAAGGAAACCCTGCATGCCGAAACCTTCAACCACTCGATGAGGGTCTATTTCTACGGTATGCTCAGATCTTCGCATCTCGCTAGTAATGTCAAACCTGGTGTCTAACGTCTACTGCTTAGGAATGGCCATCACAAAGCAGCAGTTCCCCGAGAAAGCTGCCGCTCTTAACCCAGTCACTTGGGCTTTGACATGCCTGCTGCACGATCTCGGCACAGCTGATGAAAACCTGACAGCAACCCGGATGTCATTTGATATCTATGGAGGAATCAAGGCTCTCTCTATCCTCAAGGACTTCGGCGCCACTGCAGATCAGGCCGAGGCTGCTGCCGAGGCGATCATTCGCCACGAAGATATGGGAGTGGATGGAACGATCACGTTCATTGGTCAACTTATTCAGTTGGCCACTACTTATGACAACACCGGTTTCCATCCGCACGTGAAGAATTTTGGCGAAATGATCCACGAAACCACCCGCACGCAAATAAACGAGGCCTATCCGCGCATCAAGTGGTGCGCATTCTTCTCTAGCGTCATTCGGAAGGAGGAGAAGATCAAGCCTTGGTGCCATTCAACCCATCTGGTCAACTTTGACAATGAGATTGAAGCAAACACACTGATGAAGAAGTGGGAGTAGGAACCTATCGCGGAACTCTGACTTGCTTTTGACTTTCCAGTCGCAGTGGCTGCGCTCACTCAACGTGAAGTTGACCGACTAAAGAAACCGCGGCATAGATGAACCCAAATTTTGCGAAAGTAGTTATTTGCACATGTATATCTGTAGGTAAAAGGAAATAAAATTATTTATAGTTATCTTCTAGGTCACCGCAGTCTATAGAGTAGGTTTAACTTGACCAAGGACGGCACATATCCAAACCTATCTATAGCTCAACAAATCCCACTCTGCTACGAGAAATTTGTCGCAGTTTATTAACAAAGGTTAGTACATAACATGTCACCTGCAAGCCGCCACTGTAGCAATCTGAAGCTCAATGGGTTCTGTCACCTGTGAGGTTAATATAGCAAACCTTGTCAAGGAAAAGTGTGTTTCAAGATGTCTATATTGTATAACGTCTCAAATGTTATGTGGGGCAAACAAAGGATATAAAGCTCGGCTCACTATCTCCGAGTCGCCCTACTACCTAGATCATCGGCCTCGGGTTTAATTTCTCAACCTTGTGTTTATCCACACGCCCAAAATAGCTAGAGAATGTCTAGTCATAAATTGCAGGAATTTTTGCTGTCGTCAGCATGTCTCCGGCCAATAATGCACTAGGTCGCATAGGGGCTTATAAGGTAGAGCAGTGTGTCTATTTTATATATCAAGCGAATGCTATTATGGGATCCCGAGTTTCATAAGCGATTCAGAACATTTCACATCTATTTTACTCTAATAGATCCATTCTGAGTATATACATGTGGTATTAGAAGACACAAGCGGTACGATCCGGTGAGCACGAAATTCAACAATTATGTCTATAAATTTGTCCTATCATGTAAAAGAACTACCTATACCTTCGTCCGAAACATCCCAATGGTCCACATTGCCCTCTAAAACATCTCTTGTAAACAGACCTCTCCTATATTAACGCTGAAGACCCTTGTTTCATCGAGCACATGGTGTCAAATGGTCTATTTCTGCCAAACATGCGCCATCTCCGCTCGAATCATTGCCATCAAGACGACCTATCACCATTAACTATCAGCGATGCCGCTCAGATACCACAAGTATTCGACATACCAAGCTGAGGTCTACTCCTTGAGCCACCCGAACCCGAAAGACCGAGATATCGCGATCCCGCACAAACCGCTTCTTGACATTATTTGAATGGATCGAGATCTCTGCAATCGTCACATTGCCAATGTTAACATAGTTCGTTATCCCCATTGCATCACGCGGTCGCATCTCGACCAGCGCGCCGGAGCTCAAGATTTTCCCATCAATGGCCGTGTGTGCCGAGGTGAAGAATTTCTTATGACAAAGCTCGGCGATCTTGTTGCCATCGGCGTCTTCTACAAGCCACCCCATCTTACGCCGTAGGTCAAAGACTGGCCGGCCAGAGGCATCCTTCAAAGGTCGTCTCAGTGTCATCGAGCTGTAACCCCCGGGGCCTTCGACGGAAAAGAGCTTCTCACCATCATCACGCGCGATCGTGATGTCTTGGAGGTGACGGTCGTGGACCCTTACCCATATGACGGATTCTTGCTCGGTCAGATGGCCTTCGGTTAGGTAGACCGGTGAAGGTGGAGCTTGAAGATCTGCATCCATTGCGCCCGAATATAGTAGGTGCCAAGTGGAGGAGGACCGGGTAGTTATTTGTTGTGACCAGGTATCAATAATTGAGAAGCGACAGGACAAGTGGAGGGGCACAAATAGCGTGGAAGAGTCAGAGAAACAGGAGTGTAGCGTGTTGATGCACTGATGGTAAGATACCAAGGACCCCTCGCTCTCGGAATGATGTGTGCAGTGATGTGGTGGGTCTGATCAGGCTGCATATACGCCAAAGGAAGCTCGGTGGGTGAGGTGAGGCAGCGGAATAGTGAAGGAAGGTGGGCATAGTGTTCCGGAGGTTGGTTAATCCGCGCAAAACCTGGGGGCCGACAATATCATGGGCATAAGAAAGGATTGTGGGGTCCAACAGTAAATGCCGCACGCCCTGTTACTGAGTGGTTGGTACCTGAACGACTCATGAATGCCGATCCTGGTCTATTTTGCTTGGCATAAAATAGGTGTGGATTAAGTTTTCCACATAAAGTGGACCAAGCCTTTCATGGGGGCCAGAGGTAAGCCAATAGTATATTGGTCTGGTATTATATAGGGGATAGTTAATAATGTTAGCGCGACATAATATCTTTTACACTACCACTACATGAAGCGTAGGATTATTCAAGTTGAAATATAAATGTTCAGCTCATTGCCTGTAAGAATTCCTTTATAGACCAGAGGCAACATATGTATAGAACGAGGTTTTTGACGAGTCACGAAGTATTTCTTTTGTAGCACCAAAGGTATCTATGCTCACAGTGATTATTTCCTAGCTTTGAACTCTACTCTGCGTTTGTTCATTGGTAGGTTGTTTTCACCCCACGTCAAAGAGATATACTGTAGCGCCACAAAACCAGAATACTGGGGACATTGTTAAAACCAACTAAAAAGGGATTATGAGTTTCATGATTGTATTGGAAGGATCTAGCATGATCTCATCTTACTCAGTAATTTAGTGATAGTTATGATTAATGCCTCAGTTTGGTCCACAGAAAGTATGGGGGCCAGTTACTACTTGCCCATACGTAGGATATTGTTCGTACTAAGATAATGGGAAGCCTAGTACTATCATTATAGCATGGGCGTAAGAGTCAAGTCCAATTTGTATCAGTCCAATTTGTATCACCTATTCGTACTCATAAAGCCGTATATAGATACAGAAACAGGTCGTGCATAAGTCATGGTGAAAGGCGAGTGCCACGGGGACATCTCTCGCTTCTATATGACCAAAGGCACCATCACACGCACAATATGCTATATGTCGGTATGATAGTTCCGGCCCCCATCACAAGTTCCAGTTCCAAGCAATGAGGTCAAGGCGGAATCAGCAATACCGAGTGGAGTTGACAATGGAGCCCGAAACTCATTATAGAGGCAAAGGAATTAGATAGGAGCACAAGGTCATGAGAACACAGCCCCTGGGGGATCTTCATTTCCGACTCTTTCCATGAAGAAGAAGCACAATCAAGTCCACGGACTGGAGATGTCATGAGCTGAAGACGAAGGTATAAAGTTGACTACCCTCCCAGCCGAACATTGATTCAAAACACTATCTTTCTTCCTCACTCACAACTCCTCAATTACTTTCAAAAACCTTCATATTACCTCCAATATGGTTTCTTTCAAGACTCTCCTCAGTGCTGTCGCCATTGCTGCCTCCGTCCAAAGTGGCTCGGCTCTCTTGCTCACAGTCTCCCTTGATGCTGCTCTTGGAGCCATCGGCGGTGTTATTGGCGCCGCTGGTGGTGTCACCGGAGGTGTCTCTGCTGCTGTCGGAAACTCCAAGCGAGAGGTGACCCAGATCGAGGCAGCACCTATCAGCCGTGTTAAGAGACAATCTTACGGCACCAAGTATGACTGGGAGCAATGTCACCAGCAACTCACTACCTCGACTATCGACTTCAACGGCGAGGCACCTGGCAGTAAGTATTCTCTGTATTGCAATGTTAGAAAGCCTCGTTTTTAGCTAACACATATATTCAGCCGTGGTTGTTAGCGGTATGCCCCAAGCTTGCATGAACCTTGCCACCGTCATTACTGGCAAGTTCGATCAGGGCAATCCGGTTCCGCTGAACAACAATGCGGTCCGGTTCACTGGTTTGACCGATGATGATATCCACCAGATGGAAGACGCTTTGAACACTCACGCTTAGATGAAACGGGTGAGTACCGCGGACAAGCTATACACGGCATGCGGGTATGATTGGCTTGTTCGGCTTTTGGATACAACAAGATTGTCTAGCTTAGAATTGATACCAGTGCCTGAGATTATCTCTTCGCCCTCATCTTTTATATTATTTGGTCCAATCAAACTATCTTTGCGAAGTAGGCTTAAAATTTGTAATTAGCGCCATGGCTTCCCGGTTTATCACGTTTGCGTAACTCTTTCAACATAAACATGATTAAAAACATACAGAATATCTTCTCTATGAAACATAAGACACTCTATTGGCCTGTAATTATGGCAAGGGAACTAAGCCAGGGTTGGCAAGGCCACCATAACATGTCCAAAAAAGTAAACTTGAATATGGGTTGCAACCAGGGCTGGAACATGATTCCTCGACAATAGCAACTAGAGTTCCATTCCCATGTCTTTTATCTTGTTTTCCATCCGTTTAATCCGCCTCCCTAATTTGTAAACCTTGAATACTATTAGCTTGATTTTAAAATTAGGTCATAAGGAGCATACATCAACTACCTGGTATATATAACTTATCATGAATAAAGACACACCAATACATAGGGCGATAGTTGCTGGGTGAGCGTCCATATTGATGTTGAAGGAACAGTAGAGAGAAATATAATATCACAGTTAGAGCCGAGAGATAGAGGCAAAATTGTATAGTTGAGCGAACAGAAGATAACTAGGAGGTTGAATAGAGATATAAGAGAGGCCGGGAAGTTTTAATTATTAAGGGTACCAGTATGATTCAATAGTTACGGATAGTCTGAAGTATAACTAGGGCTTGCGATCGCTGCCCAACTAGTCTTAATCTCATAAGAACATACCATAAAGAGAGCGGAGTGCCTAGACTGGCCGCAAACTCAGTCATTGTAATTTTATTGACCCTTTTTACCTGAGTTCCCCTATCAGTCCTTTAGTTCGTCGCATCAAAATTTATGGAAAATGATCGGTAATCTAACGGAAGAAGCTTCCATCTACGAAGGGGCATAGCGCTCACGGGTCGCATGACGTCATTTTCCATGATTTCTGATTGTTCCTTTTACTTTAGTCTGAAATTTACATAGGACTGGGCTCTCATGAGGTTCCTAAGACAGAGATTGAGGTCCTCCGCTTGACAACCTAATTCTTTTAGTCGCTATTTGCACTTTCCACGTTTGAATCTGTTCTTCTCGACACAGGTTTACCTGGTATCTCTTGACAACTGTTTCTCTTAACAACCAGTACATATATATAGTTCAATCGTTCGTAATGTTTTCCTTTATATATATCCTCTCCCGTAGTAATTGTTCTCCTTTCTCTCCTCGCCGTTCCCATTTTCTCTGCTTTCACAAATATATTTTGCTTTCACCATGTCTTCTGACTCTTCTCTTCCAATTGTGGCCCAAGGCCTCTTTGTTGGCATTTCTGCTGTCAGCGGTATCTACGGCGCCATCGTCGTACTCTGCAAAGGCCGTACGTGGCTCGGAACGGATGACAGACGCGCTGCACGCCGCGGAGGGCGCCTACGGGCGACTAAGTATGCTACCTCACCGTCTTTTCATCGCCGCCTTTTTGAAACATATACGCTAATTTTGATTTGTTTACAGCAGTCCTCTACAATATAATTCAATTCAGATTCAGTTCGGATTCAGTTCAGATTCAGTTCAATTTACTTTCAAACTCCCTATGCCCATTTTAGAAGGCATCAATTTTACTCTAATATCTCTAGTTATGGTATTTACGTAAGAATACTTAAATAGTGTGGAGCTCTATCTGCGCGTATATGTGATGTTGTCTTGGGGGCCGTTGTATATATTTCCGATTTGGGGTTAGACGCCCTCTCCATAGCTCCACCTCGGCACCTGCCCAGGTGGGCACCTGGGCGCGGCTCCACACGCAACCTTTCCCGCCGGGAGATGGCCCCCATGTCCAAACTAACACCCCTGGAAATTTGCGATAGAGATAGGGGCCGCACCGAAGAAGGGTGCGCAAATTATATTAGGTGCGTCGCACCCGACTATGCACCATTCTGCTGCACAGAACGTACCAAGGCATGAAAAGGATGATGGCGTTGGAACAAGCAATCCAAGCCTTGCCACCAGTGCTCTATCTTTGTCTTTCTGGGTTTGCATTCGCTATATCTTTGCACACACCAAAACAAAGACAACGACTGGCAATGCTGCCGTTGATTCTAATACCCGCCTTCCTCTCCTTGTCGTCGGTGCTCCATGTGCCATTTGCCCCCGGCGTCCCACTCGTCTGGGGTCAAGCATTAACAGGATATGTCCTGCATACGATATCGACTCTACACCTCAAGAAAATCCCACCACCTTACCCGTCCGTTCCATGTTCAATGACACTTGGCTTCAACACCTGCCTCGATTTCGGTTACTTCCGCCGAATTTGGCTAAATCCGCGTTTGATACGTACACATCCAACCAACCAGACCTCGCAGGAACGGCCGAAGAAGCAGTCTCGCGGGGTATTCCTTGTCTTACAACTCTCCAAGCTTCTCATATACTACATTGTTCAAGCACACATCTCCCCTGCGCTATTTGACGAGGTTATCATTGACATCCTACCCGATGATGTTGCCCCGTCTCAACAATCTCTCTTGCGACCCTTGGATGAGTTCACAGCGCGAGAGTGCTTGAATGTGACGTTCGTCACCTTGTCATCTTTCTGGACGACGTTTGTGTACCTCGATGGGACCAATGCCCTGATGGGCGCATCTTTTGTTATGATCGGCCTGGATGATCCAGAGGACTGGCCACCACTCTTTGGAGACCTCTACCAGGCAGTTGGGCTGCGAAATTTCTGGTCAAGATTCTGGCACACACTTCCCATGAAGCCTTACAGGAGCATCGGAGAATACATCAGCCTTCGGATACTTAGGCAGTTACCTCAGTCTTTCTCCCATAAGGCAACCGTTGCCCTGGTTGCATTTGGGCTTTCGGGCGCCGCTCACGCTTTGATAGACTGGCAGCGTGATACCCCTGATTGGCATTTGAACATTTATTGGTTTCTCTTGAACTTCCTTGGTTGTATGGGCGAGTCTCTTTTTGTCAAGACGCTTCGTCAGTTAGCACGGAGAGCTCGTCAGGAGAACGATCTTCGCACCCTCGAGGAAAGCTGGCTCGGCAGGTTTATCGGGTACGTCTGGGTGTGCGTCTTCTTCTGCTGGACGGTGCCAATGTGGCGTTTCCCCGAAATCCATCGACAGTCTTTGGCGTTCCAAAGCATGAGGAAACTCTTGTCGAACATGCAAGTAGTTCAACAGTAGAGACGCCCGGTATATTGCGCCGCATGCATCCATATGGTACTTATAGCATGAAAACCGCAATTACACTGAATGAGCTATGCTCCAATTACTTTCTAGCCTTATGTTGTTCCGATTCTCAGTACCTCGGATAGGTAAATTGGCAGACAGGTTTCGGGGGACTTTTGGAGGTGGCAATACACCTCCATGCCAATACCATGACCCTTGGAGAACAATCAATGGGACATGTTTGAATATTGCAGCTCCCCTACCAATGGTGTGGTTCCCAATGCACCTGGAGTGTGGAGCGATGCACAGGTCTCGGGCTGGAAAAGGAAATGGGCTGGTAACATTCATAAGCGGGCACGATTTGGAATGGAAGTTGCCACAGATATTACGAGCGCTATCGGTGGGGATAAACTCGGATGCAAACTCAGCCCCTGGAGCAGCTTCCAGGGGATGAGAATGGCGGATCCAGTACCTCAATTCTTGGAGCTGAAGGGTCTGAAGGTCGGATATCTTCGTGTTGTCGGATCTCGGGTGAACAGCAAGGTGGATGTTGAAAATATGGAGAGTTATCGAGTTTGCATGGGATATCTGGGACTAGATATCGCCCGTTTTTGGTCGCTAGTGGGTTTGGTGCGCATTCCGCAAAAAGTGCAGTTGACTGTGATATCGAAACAACAATGTCGCAGTTGTGTTTGGGGGAAACTTTCTCGCCGACCCAGATCTACCATTTCGCATCCAGCACGGTCTTGATTTGACCAAGTATCACCGGCCGAGCTTCTACACACCCATAACTCGCACTGAATACACCAAGTATCTCGCCAGAAACAATGTCTAGTCGTTGATCAGAAAAGCTTGTTCGTATTTAGTCCTGTGTGAAGTAATGTGACAATAGAATATCAATAGTCCACAAATAAAACTCTAGAAATCGGGTAAGACTTAATGGCAGCTAATTGCCATTATATCAACGAGGAGTATCGCTGCAGTGCTGAACCAAGGGTATTGATAAATGGTCACTGAGAATGACCACGGAATAATTACGACATCAGCGGAATAACTCCCAAACTTCGATCTTCCGCGATATTCGGCAACTGCACAAAAAATTCCCAACGGAATGTTCGGGGCAGTGGGTGGGTAGGTGGGGCTTATGTTTTACCTTGATATATCGATGACCAATGACTACGGTACACCCATAGATTTATATTAGCAAAATAATCGCAACCCACTTGGGTGGTGAATCTACAAGCTCTTGTAAATTGGATAGAGGGGCCTAATGAAATATCCACCATGATTCACATGGTATGGCAGCTTACAACGACCCGTTAACTAGGCAAATACTAGTTGGGGCTGAACATCGCCCCTATAAAGAAATTCAAATTTGGCTAGTACCTAATGTTTAACTTGAATAACCACCTTGCCAAAGTGACCTTCACTTTTCATCAATCAAGTCATCTTTTTTCTCAGGATTAACAATGGGGTGGACCTTGCCCTCCGGGTAGAATGTCACCATCTCTTCAGGACGGTGAGTCGGTAATGCTGGAAACCAATACTAATTCCAATAACAGTTTGCTTTTTCTCGAATGGTTTAGACACCACGTTATTGCCATTGCGGTTAGATCTATAAATATTTACATTAAACCGTCGTAGACCGTAAACTGGTGGGTCTTTAATCCGAGTTACAGGGCAATAAAGTGGCTTAAGACCGTTCACATATACAAAGCGAAAGGGGGTGGCTGTAGGACACGGTGTACACGGAACACACAAGAATTATATTATATTTGCTAGCCCCTACCTACCAAGTCGCTCGCACTGTCTTGCCGAACTTGCCATTTCAGAGGACCTTGACTGAGACAAAGGGGTCGAAGAAACGAGAGGAAAAATGTCTTGCCAGTTACTGGAAGATAAATGACTTCATGGAGAAGGGCTGACAATATTACAGGGAATTCACTTATGTCTTCAACAAGATCGATATGTGGCGGTGATGGTAGAATGGCATCAACTACCAATGAAGGTAATAAATAAGAATTTATATAAAAATGGATACCAACGGATAATTCATTCACTAAAGCTTATTTGTACCCCACTTTCGGTGAATTGGAAATCCGCAAACCGAGAGCCATAATGTGCCGAAAGCTCATAACTGCCTATTATATACCTAGGGTGTCTAAATTCAAAAGTTATCTGCTTTCGTTAATTTTGCCATAGAGTCTTCAGGTTTCACGAAATTCAATAGTTAGTCCATACATATACCATAATACTAGTTTACTCTAGACCTAAGCTCGGTGTATGGCCGAGAGGGGCTAACCACACCTTCGTACTTTCGTGAACAGCATATATATAGTAGAAGCCACGTCATGCTGCCTTCCCGATATGACCTAAGTCATGCTCAATGGCATTTTAAGCAATTCATGAATAATGGTTTAAATTATTCACTAGAAATACCTCAAATCTCATTTTTGTTTCTCGCTTTACAGTATGAAGTACCGAGTACGAATACGTTCAATGCTGTTGTATAGTTCCGCTCTTTATATTACAAATATATTAGATCCATTTTCAATTCCCCTTTTAATGTAGAACTGCATTCAATGCCGGTCTAATTATTCCCTTCGAAGACTATTCCCTTCGAAGTGTGGATACGCCGAGGCAACTGATCTATTTAGATTCAACATATTGTAATATGTTATTTCAGTTCTCCAGTTATGAAAAGGGGAGCGTGTAAGCATGGTTAGCATGTTTTGTCAGGGAAGGTCCTGATTCCTGGAGAAACTACTCCGTAAAGAAAGTCGAATTATTTAAAGTTAATTTGCTGAGAGAAAAAAAAACGTGGGTAGCCTTGTCATCGATCTAGATGAAACACTATTAAATGAAGCCCCCGCGGCTCTACTCTTTTCCTTGGGTTTGTCTCCGTGTCGGTGTTTCGGGGATGGCGTTACTGACGATCCCCTTCCTAAAGCAACGATAGTCAGAGACTGATCGGCGGTGGCATCTCCACCGGGATCCTCTCCTTCACACTGACTTCCGAAACCACCACTCTCACCAAATCCACTCTCATTTCAGCCGGGGATTATCCGAGTAGAGGACCTACGGGAGGTATTGATTGGCGGAAACCTTGGAACACATCTCATAACCTAAAATCGCAGGTATATAAAGTAAACATCATGCGTCCTTCTCCCATTCCTCTCCAATCCATTCTCTCTTTACCTTCCTTTTGTGCACTTTCTAATCTTGTTTGCTTTTTTGTTTACCGTCACTATTTACATATTACCTGTATCAACTTCGAAAATGAAGTACGCATTTGTTCTTACGGCCATTGCCGCTATTGCCTCCAAGGTCGCCGCTGTCGGTGTTTCCGGCACTCCTGAGGGTTTCGCTTCTTCCGCCACTGGTGGCGGTAAGGCTACCCCTGTCTACCCTACCTCCACCGACGAGCTGGTCTCTTACCTCGGTGATGACGAGGCCCGCGTGATTGTTCTGAGCAAGACGTGAGTAGAGAGCTCCCGGCGTGGATGTATGACCGCTGACAATGGCGGAATACTAGTTTCGACTTCACGGATACCGAGGGTAGCACCACGACCTCCGGTTGTACCCCTTGGGGTACTGGCTCCACCTGCCAGGTTGCTATCAACAAGGATGACTGGTGCACCAACTACGAGCCTGATGCCGCTACCACTACCGTCACCTAGTGAGTATCCCATCACTTGGGCTATAATCATCATTCCCTGGATGCTAATACGTCTCCAAGCGACAACGCTGGTATGCTCGGTATCACCGTTGGCTCGAACAAGTCCTTGATTGGTGAGGGTAGCACCGGTGTTATTAAGGGCCGTGGTCTGCGCATCGTTAACGGTGTCAAGAACGTCATCGTGCAGTATGTTGAATCCCTATTTCGGCCTTAAGTGCGAAAGCTTGGTTGAAATCCACGCTAATCACCTTACCATAGGAACATCGCTGTCACGGACATCAACCCTAAGTACGTCTGGGGTGGTGATGCCATCACCATCAACGAAGCTGACCAAGTCTGGCTCGACCACATTACCGTACGCTGTTCCCACAGGTTTTCCCAACAATTTGCATAGACTGACTTGATTCATCCAGACTGCTCGCATTGGTCGCCAGCACTATGTCCTGGGTACTGAGGCTGACAACCGTGTCTCTATCACCAACAACTACATCAACGGTGAATCCGACTACTCTGCCACCTGCGACGGCCACCACTACTGGAACGTGTACCTTGATGGCTCCAGTGACAAGGTTACCTTCAAGGGCAACTACCTTTACAAGACCAGTGGCCGTGCCCCTAAGGTCCAAGGAAACACCTACCTTCACGCTGTCAACAACTACTGGGACGAGAACTCCAGCCACGCCTTCGAGATCGGCTCTGGTGGCTACGTTCTTGCGGAGGGTAACTACTTCTCTAACGTGAAGGAGGTTCTCGAGAAATCCACCTTCGAGGGTGCCCTCTTTTCCTCCGACAGCGACTCCAGCACCTGCTCCTCCTCTATTGGTCGTGCCTGTGTTGCCAACGCCAACGGAGGCACTCTGGCCGGTACTTCCTCTGAAGTTCTGTCGAACTTGAAGGGCGAGACTCTTCCCGCTGCCGATGGTGCCAGCACTGACCCTGCTGGCAGCGCCGGCCAGGGTAACCTGTAAATAGTGTTGTGCATTTGAGTTTGGGATTCCTCGAAATCCCCTATGGGAGAATCGGGTAACAGCTTCGATACACCATAGTTCTCGGAAGAAATAAGGTAGAGAGATCAATACGAATGTATTGGAACTATCGGAATTACTGACTCCGGGCAAGGGAGGAGAGGAAATGATCTAATTACAACTATAGTCCTGGCATTCCTAGGGCCAACAGTCTTAATATAGTTCTTATCTCAGCCAAATCAATAATATTCATAACACAGATATACTTCCATGGTTCGACACCTGGGAAAATGTTGAATATCCTAGAAAGATCCTCGATTGCTGCAGCTTTCTGGTCAAATCAGGACCTCAGTTACTCATTTTCCGACATCACTGCTAAATAAACACCCCGAACCCTGAACAAAACCACAGAGAATCTCGCAGTATACTCAGGGACATCTCAACAACAGTGGAATTTCGGGGTAATGTCCACCTCGCAGTTAGAACTATAGCAATATTGAAACATATTCAACGCAATACTCAGGTACTTTTTGGGGTGTTTGCCAATGCACAGTTGGCAAAAATGTCAACGAAGCAAATCTTTTCATCATGCTCAGGGAAGATCGACTTCACTTTTTGATGTAAAGTCTAATATGGGCATGAGAAAGACAGGGGTGATGGAGCTCAGTGACCCGGGTGATAGCAAGATTCCTCATCGGACGACATATATATATATATATATGTATGCATATACGGTTTGATCCTCCTAGTCTATGTAGAGTTTCCACCTTTAATAAAAAGTTGGCCTTGGCATCGCTCACCGCGCCAAGAGGGCCCAAAAAGATCTTGGCCATGGCGGAGGCCCCCGCTATCTTTCTCTTTCCGATGTAGGTTACGGGCGACGGGCTACCAGCCCGGGGGTACTCGAAAAAAAACTCCGGGATACCCGCCAAGCCTACTTATATCATCGTCTAATATTGAGTACGTTCTAGGTCGCGGACCTTAGGGATACCTAAATTCATTTGATTATATAACTATAATCTTTTTTCTCTAATTTTTATTTTTTTATCTAACTTTTATTTACCCCTATAAACCTTACGTACCCTATATACCCTCTACTATAGATCTAATACTACCTAACTAGAGTCATTTTTATAATATTCCTTTATTTTCTATATTTCTACTACCTCTAAGAGGAACGGTTCGTAGTACTATACGTCCTTCTACTCTAGATAGGCTTAATTATCTCTTATTTAATATTCTATAGGTAAGTTATATTTTATATATATTAAATATATATTAAGTATATATTTAATATATAAAAATATATACTAAATATATACTAATTATTATATTTACTTAGTCTTATTTTCCGCGTCCTATAGACGAAGCTACCTATAAATATTCTAATAAAGACTCTTAAGACTCTAATAAATACTCTAATAGAATCCTCGACGATTAAAGCTTTAGAAATAGTAACCCTTCTACTAGTACTACTATAATATATACCTATCTAAAAGGAATTAGTATTAGTATAAAAAAGATAGTTATTTATAAAATCTAAGAGTATATTATTCTTCTAGACTATCTAAATACTAATAAAAGTAATATCTTATATATTATTTATATAAAGAAGAATCTTTTTTAACGCTAGCTTATTAATAAAGAAAGCCTAAATAAGATATTTATAAGACTTATATTAGCGATATATTTCTTATATACTTATTATATACTTAATATATATAAAGCTTAATACTAATATATTATATTTAGTATTAATTCTTACTTTATTCTTTAAAGTACTCTACTAAAAAAAGTAATTTAAAATTTCTTTAGAAATCTCTAAAAGACTAAGAATTAAAAGTATATTACTATATTTATATATATTCTAGGATATAGTATTATCGATATATTTATCCTAATCTTATCTAATTATTATTAAAGTATAATTAGATAAAGCTAATACTATTCTATAAATTCTATATTAAAGAAATTATAATACCGTTCTATACTTATAATATTAATATAGAGATCTATAAATAAATAAAAGTATAAGCTCTAATTTAATTATACTTATATCTAATATATACTAAATTTATACTATATATAGATATTATTTTAATTTAATATAGATATAGACTATAAATAAAGAAGGGTTATATAAGTATTCTTATAATAAATATATATATCGCCGCGTAAAGCTATATATTTAGATAAGCGGTAGGGTATATATATATCTTTTTTAATATATATATAAATACTAATATATTATATCTAGTAATATTTTATTAGCTATCTTTTTATAGCTAATAGAAATAACTAGTACTTCGCTTAATATCTTAATATAACTATTTATTAGATTAATCCTAAGATTCTACAAATTCTTTATATAAGAGATAGTAATCTAGTTATAAGGGGTTTTAAATCTTAAGACTATTATTTTATATAGTATCTTATAGGAAGAAGAATTATATATAGTAGATTTAAATATAACTTATACTTAATATATACTAATTATATACTAGACTCGATCTATATAAATAATATTAGTATATTTATTACTACTAAGTATACTACTAAGATTAATATTTATATTCTAGTCTTATAAGATTAGTTTTCGTTCTATCTTATTTTTTATTAAAGATCTTATTCGTACTTTCTACCGCTACTAATAAAGCTACTATATATTATTATTTATAAGATTATAAAGATACTTAAAAAATAAGATCTTTTTAGTTTAATTATAAGTAAGTATCTTTCTTATACTTATCTTATACTATATATATTAATTATATATATAGAGTAGTTTATAAGATTATCTAAGTATATAGAAATCTTCTATAAGGATTATATATTTATAGTTAAAGCTATAAAAGAAATATTCCTAATAGCTAATAAGATTTTAGCTTTAATTTTAAAGTAGAGAATCTTTTACTACCTAGATAATATATATTTAAATAGTATTATCCGCGAATTTTACTCCGATTAATTAAAGGAACTTAAAGACTAGTTTATTTATAAGATATATATACTTAATAAGGAAAAATTGTAAGAATATACTATTTTAGGTATAAGGCCTATCAACCGGGTAAGATACGTTGGCTTAGGAGGAGGAACAAAGGTATATTGGGCTATGTGTGCCAAGACTAATTCTTGCCAGAATTCAGGGGTCCCGGGGGGACCCAAGATTAAAAGGAAATGTACGTGCTAAGGCTCGGCGCCGATCGGGTAACGAACCCCGCACGTTTTATATACGTATTAAAACTTCTATAAATATATATATCGCCTAAGTTCCTATTTTATCTTTAAAAGGACCTTTATCCTTTACAATTATTCCCCCTTCTCCTACGAGGATATCTATATCCGAAAATAGATTATAGCTATAAAGTATCGGGGAGATATCGGTAGTACTCTATAATAAAGGAGCTATAATTAGAATAGTTCCGAATCTTTATCTAATTTTACTATATTTTTATAGTATTAGGGCTATATAGCTATAGATATATTTATAGTAGAGAACCCTAATTTCCTAACTATCCTCGATATTTAGTATCGATTTTACTATACCCGCTATTCGTAGAAATCGAATCTATTTAAAAAATATATAATATATAAGCTATCTTCGCTCGATAATTATCTATTTTACCTCTAGAACGAGCGCGGTTCTATTTTCTATCTAGTATTTCTTATATAAAGCTAACTCTAAAAAATACTAATAATATAATTAATAGAAGTCGATATATAAACCTCCGTTAGAGGGAATATAGGGAGATCGCGTCGAATTAATCGCGATTCTAGAGTAGGTAGCCTAATACTAGTTACCTATAAATAGATATTATACGTAAGATATAGTATATCTCTAGGAGATAGATAAAGAGGTTATTAATTTAGTAAAAGACTTCGATACTACCTATAAAGCGTATAAGTCCGATTATAGGTTTTTAGATAAAGACCGGAAGGATTTTATAGAGGCTAAGATAGGTTCTCGGAAATTATATATCCCGATAGTAATTCGCTAACGACCTATTTTAGTATTATAGCTATCTCGCTAGTCGCCGTACGATATACCTAAATCCTATCCTGCGCCCTTTTATTTCTTCGATAGAAGAGTAGTAGAAACGGTTCTATACCGAAGCGGGGTAGCGTTTTTAAATAGGAGATAACGGTTTTATTATTTAGACCTAAGATAAGTATAATCTTTTAGTAGTAATCTAAAATATATATATCGAATACTTCGATCCTATAGTACTAGGCGTTATTCTAAGGGACTTAGTAGAGGATCTAGCGGATTCTTTTCCTATTCTACTTTTCGAATTATAGGTAGAAAGGTTACGTATTAACGTTATTTTAGGTTTTAGTTTTTAGCTTTTAGTAAATAGTAGATAGAAATAGAAGGTATAACTTATATTCCTAGATTTAATCCGTAGTTTCCTATTTTATATAGAATCCGATTTAGACCTTATCGCGTTAATAACCTTTAATTTATTTTCCTTTTATAACTCTCTATCTTCTTACTCCTTTAGATTTACGTTTTACTATTTCTTTATTATTATTTCGTAGGTTAATTATAATTATACCTCCTATTCGTTATTCGCCGTATAAACTATACTCTTTAATTTTACGCTAGTATACCTAGTATATAATATACCTACGCGTTTCTATATACGAGTAGATAGATATTAATTCGGTATCTCTTCGATCCTTTATTATCCGCTACTTCGCTAAGACGTATAATAAGAAGAATTATTAATACTATAATAGGTTATATAAGCCTTATAAGATAGTAAGTATTCTAAACTACTCCGATAAGGATTCGGTACTAAATCGTACTAACCTTACTTAGGTCCCTAAGGGTATCGAGGGGAACCGCTATAAACTTTTAGTGTACTTATTATAGGTTTAGGACTTTTAAACGAACTCTAATAATAGCTTTAGTAAAGACGCTAAGCCTAATATTAACGACTAGGGTACTATAATTATATTATAGCTACCCTATAAGCTAGTTATTAGCGTTATAGCGTACG